GTGGTGCCCAGCAACAGGACAAGAGGCAACGGGCAGAAACTGAACCACAGGAAGTTCCACCTGAACCGGAGGAAAAACTTCTTCACTGTGAGGGTGACTGAGCATTGGAACAGGTTACCCAGAGAGGTAGTGGAGTCTCCTTCGCTGGAGATATTCAAAACCCGTCTGGATGTGATCCTGGGCAATCTGCTCTAGGTGACCCTGCTTGAGCAGGGAGGTTGGACTAGATGATCTCCAGAGGTCCCATCCACCCTAAACGATTCTGTGATTCTGTGATTCTTTTTTCTCGTTCAGTAAACAACACCACATCTGGCAGACAGAGGGAGTGAAATATTTTCTCTCAGATAATCTTCCTGGCTGTTGCCTGAAGATATTTGCTTCGCAGGTGCCCAAGCCAAGACAGAACTTCTTACCTGCTTAGCCATGGCTAGTTTCTTCTGCAAATATTCAATCTGTTCCTCCACTGCTCGGATCTTGCGGAGTGCATCCTCATCAGCCATCTTTTTACTCTCCTTTTTCTCCTTGTCTTCCAGTTCTTTCACCCTCTGCCTCAGTTCCTCCAGCTACAGCAAGGATGAGAGAGAAACAAGACTAAACACAAGTATGTGGCCCAAACTCTGCTAAGAACCTGTTTTCCCTCTAATTCTCTAAAACATTAAAGAAACTGCCTTCAAAACACAGGAAAAGAAAACCCATCTCTCATCCTGACAAGACACTACTGGCAGATGGACCATTAAAATGAGCTGTAAGACTAAGACCTTGATTTCAAATTACTTGCAAATGCCACAGTGCCTTTTATCAGAGTAGGAACGTTAGCTTTAGTCTCTTGTAGCTGAATAATTCCGTTCAGCCCAAGGTCTTTCTGCAGTTCCATTCAGGTGCACCATTCCAGGTGCACCATTCCAGGTGCAACGAAGTCCAAAACTCTTTTTAAATACATCAAGTGGTAGTTTTTGTCTAATTGGCTGCCTAGCCCCTCTATGCTTTTCAGGTCTCTCCAATGTTTGTAATGAAGTAATGCTGATAATCTACAAGTAACTGCAATGGAGAGTAGAACACACCTCTACAAGAACAACTGCCTTTATCACTAGTTATGAAAACACTGTTCCTTAGAAGGGCAACATCCCCCAAATCTCCCTGTTCATCTCTCGTCCTCCCACCTGTCCCAATCTATCTCCTAAGTGACAAAGATGAGAAGAGCAACAACTTCCAATTTGAAGACCAAAAAAACAAAAAAAAAACACAGCTTAGGTGCAGAGTATTTGAGACGAACCTTTAAGTAACAGGATAAAGGAAAAAAAGGAAGAAAAATAGGATTTACCTCAGCTTTAGCCTTCTTCTCAGCTGCCATGAGCTGCACTTTGTCTCTCTGTTCCTTGGGGGCAGAGCGGTACATATCTAACAAGAGCTTCATCTCCTTCTGGCTCTCCTGGGCCTTCCTGGAAACAAGGAAATAGACAACTGTGAGAATATGGACGAAAGCGACACTGTTATGGGACCAGTCTGAGGGCAAGAGCAATATTCTCTCTGCCTCTCACAGGTAGGAGTATGCAGTATCCTTGGGTCACCTTATCCTGGCAATGTAAGTAACCAAGGGGCACATGCTGGAGACAGAAAATGGATACGTTCAGGAACATAGGCACTGAAAAGCAAAGAGAAGAAAGAAAGAAAGAGCGAGCGCATGCGAGCGAGAAAGAAAACAGTGTACCGTAACAGTAAGGAACGAACTACCCATCTGTGCTTTCATACTGATCCAATACAGGGAAGACTACTGCACCTGTAAAGCTTTACATCATTGTAATGACAGGAAGAAATAAAAGTTACTGGACCTACACTACAAAGTATCTCGTTAGGTTTTTCATGCCTCAGGCTCTTTTATAGGAGAAATGTTACTACACTGTTTGAACCATAATCAGATGAAGAAGGTGCCAGAAAACTCAAACTTCAGTAGCTAATCTCATAAATAAGAGCTACAAGTCATTTTTACACAAATGCCTCAAAACAGGAACAACTCAAACATGGAAGGGAGAGACAGCAGCTCTTACTTGAGCTCGGCCTTCAGCTGCTTGATCACTTCAGCCTCCTTCTTTCTTCCATCTTCATGCTTCCCTTTCTCCTTCTCTTTGGACTCTCTCTCCTTCTCAGATTCCTTCTGCTTCTGCTTTTCCCGCTCTCGCTCCTTCTCCTTTTCTTTCTCTTTCTCTCGCTCTCTCTCTTTCTCCTTTTCTTTCTCTCGTTCCCTCTCCCGTCTTTCTCGCTCCCGTTCCTCTTCGTCTCGCCTGGCCTTCGCTTCACTAGCATCTTCAGAAGCAGCCTTGGGTACGGACACTTGTGCAGAAGGATCATCAGGTTCCTGCTTGATCTCTGGAGGTTCCTCCTTCGTGTCTTCAGTGCTGGACTGGGACTGCAAGAGTGTACTACCGCTGCGAGAGCGAATCTGTTATGGAATAATGACAGAGAAAACACAAAGAGAAATAAACAGCTAAGTCCTTAGCCAGAAACCAGTACACAGTAATCCCTTTTCTCCAGTCTTCCCAAGGTCCCTTTTGCACAACTCCTTCATAATTGCTACTGGTAATGCTTTTCATGGAGCATCACAGAACTACAGAAGGAAGTCCATTTGCTTGGTGAGTGGAAGGAGTACAACTATAAGGCTACTGTCCAGAGGCACACTGAAAATCACACAGCATACTACACCTTCAATCAGAAAGGCTGACAATACAGGCGAGGCCTGGCAGCCCTCCCCCTTTTCATAAGCACTGTCTGCTCTCTCCCAGCATTTCCTGCTCTGATACCTTGCTCAGGTCGGATTGGGCCTCTCTCAGTTTGCGTTTGTACCTCAACACCTCTCCCTTCAGCTGGTGGTTGTGATTTTGGAGGCTGCTGATGAGATGACGCATCTCTCGATTAATTGGACCTACACAAAGGAAACATACGCAACAGTGAGAAGTCACAATTTCGCTGATCTTGAGATGATCTTGGATTCAACTGAGATGGACAAAAAACTAAATGACAAAGAATTAAAGACTATAATCATCCTGTTCCACAACAGAGTAACACAATATATACATAGAAAAGTTATGCCAGTTTTATCTGTTACTCTAGGCCTTTGCAAACTGCCAAACCTAAATTCCCCATTAACGTTACCTTTTCTCTATTTCTGCTCAAAATCGGAACGCAGATAACGTGCCATATTATCAGAAATCTCTGTGATTTCATTGCTACTTTAGAAATATCTTCTTACTTCTTTCTGATGAAATTTGAACGTTACTGGTTTCCTATCCAGTTTTGTCATCCCAGACATGTATATTCATTCCTCTCAGAAGCAATTTCCAAAAATACAAAAGGCAGTGTATAACCCATAGGATCTCTAAGCTATCATGAAACAGATTATTGGTAAAGCATGTCCAAAAATGTTTTACAACATTTTGCCATACCTAAAAATAAGTCATACAACGCAGAACTGGCATCCGCTGAAATACATGAAAAGCCCTTTTTCCCCTGAGTTAGAGAACTGCCTGAACAAGTATTTAACAGCAAAAGAAAAAGAATCAGAAGAGGTGTTGTATTGTAATGCAGCCTCTAATGGGCTAATGGACTTTTTGCTTTGTTTGTTTTTAAACAAAAGGGAACTCCATACCTGCTTGCTCATTGGCAGCAAGTGTCTGTTCAAACTCTATCCTCAGCATCTCATATTCTTTGCGGACTTGCGCAAGGGTGTCTTCTAGCTGAATAACCTCTGTGCGTAGCTTCTTGTGAAGGCTGACCTCATCTCTCTGAGGAATAAGGGGACAGAAATTAGTGCTCAAACTCTGCAGTATCTCTCATATCATCAACATGAGGTACAATAATAGGTTAATTATCACCCAGAAGACAAATTCGCTGACTATTTCGAGTCATCTAGGCCAATCAGTAGTGATGGTTCATGTCATGGCAATGTCCCCTAGTCTAATGAGACCTGGGACAATACAGATAGACAGTCAACACAGCTACCTCGATTAGTTCCACCTGGCGCTGATGTGTGGTACGGGTACCATGAAGTAGAGTGCGGGCCTCATCAAGATGTGCCTTCAGCTGCAGACTTTCGTTATACAAAACTGAAAATTGGGACTGCATGCAGCGATATTCCGGGGTCTCCTTCACAGCCTCCTCCACGGCTCGTCGTAGCTCAACCTGGCCAGGACACAAGAAGGAGATGCCACAGAGAGAAATTTTATCTCTTTGTCTTTGGCATCATTTTTGCAAGGCAGGAGAACAGTGAATCAAGGTGACACAGACAACTTCACAGTGGCAGTAGCACAAGCATTTTAAAAGCCTCAAAGAAAAAGGTATAACTTTAACAGGATTGCAGAGAAGTAGATGCACGTCATATGCTTTTGTTGCAACTTCAAAAACAGTCCATTATCCCTTCCTACTTCTAGGTAGTAGGCTGTTTCTCTCACACAGCCACATGGTAAGATTTTTTGATTCTCAGGCTTCGCAGTAGTTTCAAAGATATGAGTTGGGGAAAGAAGAAAAACTTTTAAAATGGATTTTCTGTAAAATCATTTAATCAATAAAGATGGGCATGTAGAAAAGTATAACAGAAAACTAGAGAAAACACAGGTCCAGCTAGGCATTCATGTTAAGTTTTTAACAACGTAAGGCATAATGATCAAAAGCATAACAAATAAAGAAAGAGTAAAAATACAGAATCTGAATTTTCCTTATGCAAAAAGTTAGTGAATGAATGTAAACAGGAATAGCGAAATGATACATGTATACACACGTACAGGTTACCACTTGTGAGAAAAGGAAGGCTGTATTGCAAACAGTGTTTCCCTCAAAATGAGTTTACACGGATAAACAAGGATTGATAGATGCCCCAAGACAGTTCCTGGAACCTTATTTTTGAAATCTGGGTAATCAACTTAGGCATTTCTCCTAAAAGGCTACGTTATCGATCACGAAGATAAAATTTACAACATTCTGTACATCATATGTTTATCTAGTAGAGATTCACAGCTTTTTATGCTACTACCATATATTAACAGTAAGACCTAAGGAATTCATATGCCACTATGCCCCATCTACCCATTCTGCCACATGCAGAGGATTTAAGAGCATCTACCACTCCTCGAGCTTAGTTTCTCTTCAACAAGTTCCCTGAGTTCTTTCAGCTCCTTGTCCATTCTGGGTGGGTGGGTAGGGGGAAGAACGTTGAGGAGAGGGTCAAGACTTGTAAAGATGTGAAGCTACTTTTAACGAGAGATCATTAAAAATGTACAGAATGGGTGGATCGGAAAGGAAAAGAGAAAATAAAGACCACTATGATTCTGACAGGTGACCACATGGTGTCACCAGTGCGCTGAACTGCAAGCACTAGTCACACAAACAGGTTAGATTCTAATACTTTGTGGAAACCAGAACCCAGTTAAAGAGAGAGTACTGTAAAGGATCATTAAAGAGGCTTTCCAGAGACGCGTGCAGCAAGATAGATCGTTACAACCACATCAGGATACCTTCAACCTCAAACAGGTACACATCTCCCACCTTGAGTTTTTCATTCTGTGTTGTTACTTCCTCAAGATCCTGGCGTAGTTCTTCCAACTCATTGAGGCGATTCCCAGCAAGCTCTTTATTCTCCTCCAGCTCTGCATTCATCTCCTCAAACTGTTGGAGACAACATGCTTGTAAATCCTACTACTAGCATATCTTTTGAGGGCACTAATTAAGTGGCTGTCCCTAAAGTAACAGAAACGGCTAACAGTCTTACCATTATCAAATGACTGTGTCTATCAGGTCTGTTTCATAAGTAGGAAACTAACAAAAAACACAAAACGGCTCACACAAGATCATGTAGGAGACTTGTAGCAAGCAAGTATTTACATTCAGTTCCAAGCTAGACCCTAATAACCAGTTCTCCACACCTCTATTCTTCCCTCTGCCTACAACTGATCCCCTAGAATTACCTTGCGAGCATTAATGGTGATTGTGCCCCCATAGAGACTGCTCCCTGCTCCATACACCTTGTAGCCTTTGGAATTTACCTGCAAAAAAAGGCAACAGATTTCATAAGTACCCAATTAAATGCTGAGACTCTGCTGACAAAGTAAATTCAGGACTGAACATGCTACTCTACAGATTTTATCACAAAGTGCCTAGGAAGATGTCACGCAGTTCAAAACCACGCCCTTCTCTTCGATTTCCTGGCAAAGAGGATGGTGCTTACCCGTTCCAGAACGTCTGCTAAGTGACGGTTGAGTCGCTGCTCTCTTTTGCGGATCTTGTCAATATCCCACTGAAGATCATCAATCATAGTCTCTAATACAGACACTCGAGACTCTGCTGTCTCCACTTTCTCTTGCAGCTTGGAGAACTGCAATCGATATAGTGTTTCATCCGCCATATTGAACATAAATAAGGTTTTCCAAGATTGCTCAATATTAACTTTTCTCAGTATACCCTGGATTCCTGTGCTTTCTACCTGTCTTTTGCTAGGGGGACAGATTACTTCCTGAATTGTTCTGAATTTGGACTAGCCAAATCACAACACAGCAATAATAATAAAACAACCAATACCAAAAACGGAAAAAGGTCAAGAAGTTGGTATTAGCTGGCAGAGGACAGAAGGATCCACCTAAGCATATTAAAAGGCACTTGCTAAACCTTTAAAATGTTTCTGCTCATCTATTATGCACATGATTGAAGTATTTGTTGCACTGACACTAAACTACGGTTGACACAAATGGGAAACCACAGGAGGAAAAACTGTGGTTTGAACCTCTTAATTTGAACCCTTAATGACTGGGATCATATTATAACTAACATTGGTATACTTCAAAAGCAGCCTGGAGAAACCAAAGAGAGAAGCTGAAATGACAGGAATGTTAGGTCAAGTTCCTTAAACATTTACACAGCTGTCTTAGCACCACCTCACCATTTCCTCTGCTGCCTTTTCCTCTAAAATTAAATCCATTCAACTCATTGATTTATTTCTTTTGCTTCAGTGATGTAACAAGTAAATACTGTTGAATCACACGGAAAATCCATGCAAAATTCTCCACAGCTCTTTCTAAACCTTTGTTCAGAATACATCTTACAGGTCTCGTTGCTGCCGTCCCTCTCCAAGGCAATAATCTGCCCTCTAAATTATGGTAACCACAATTGTTTTAAGTAGTAAACAAATGAGCACAAAACTCCTAGACAGATTATTTCTCCCTCCTTTTTATACCTCCTGAGACATGATTCGGTGCTTCTCCTGAAGAAGATCAGCCAGTTCCTGCAGCCGCCCATTTTCATGTGAGAGGTAGGAATTCAGCTCCAGGACTGCTTCTTCCATCAATGAAATATCTGAAAGATGCATGAAGAACAGGAAATGAACAAAAGCCAAAGAGAATTTTTAATTCTTCAATGGCAGGAGGAAAAATAAAACGGAAAACAACATTTCTATTTAACTCCTGCCCATTATGCTCTCCATGAGGTGGTTTCTGAGTCTCATCACTAGCCACACAAAGCTTCAACTTGCAGTCATCAAGCAAAAGGCTCTGCAGTTTAAGATACTATGCATTCCTAATTGTCAGTTACTGCCACGTAATGTCAGAAATCATTCTCCACATGTCAGCATCAGCAAAACAGAACACGCGCTTGTAGCTCAGCAACACTCTACTGCAGGTCAAATTCAAAACTTCAGCTAATATATGAGATCATGAATTACAGCAACTGAGTATAGGTCACATTAATGCCAGTACTGCTACACAGTGTAAGACTGCCAACTAAGAACGTAATACTTCACTATACTAATGCCAGATTTGCCAGAGCTTTTCTGTCAGAGAACGTCAAACACTCTGGGCAACAGGAAAACTCAGGATGACTTGAGATTCCACCTACATTTTCAATCAAATATTTCCAAAAAGACAAAAATTTTAACCTTGAGCTAATAAACTCAACGGCTTTCAGGGAGCTTCATCTGACTGTAAACTGATTCTGTTACCACTAATTTTCAGAAGCTAATCATTTAGCTTTTTTCTGCAGAACATCGCTTTTCGTTCAGAATTGACAGACTAAGCATACCAAAGAAATCAGAAGGGTACCATTTTGCTTAAAAAACAGAGGGAAATGAGGAACTGGTTATTCCAATGCCCTATACTAAACTGAAAAGTGAGGAGGAGTCCAACATCAGTTCACAATACGGGTTTCACTTGCTTAGATACTCAAAAGTTTGCAAAATGGTAAGGTTCAACTGGAATCAATAACTTCTCAGGTGCACAAACACATCAGAGGGATGACTAAGTCCTCCTCTTAGCTCAACACAATGGACAGAGTTCTCAACATTCAAATTTAGAAGCAACTAAAATAATCTTCTAGCACAGAGTGCTGCTCTTTATTGTAGGTTTTGCTTATTGGGAGTTTGGAGAGTGAAGCCAATTTATTTCAGCAACTAAACGAGTATGACAAGAACTAGGCCTTAACACTTTCAATGCAAGATCATCCCTAGACTGGCGGTAGGGGATCCTTAACTATCAGCCAGAGACCAGCCGGCTCAGTCATACCTCCACTATTTAGCTTGTGGGACAGCACATCCACTTTCTCCTGCAGCTTGTCATACATCGTCACGATCTGGGCAACAGCACGGCGAGAGGACTCTACACGCTCCTGCAGCTGAGACTCTATCTCCTCACTAGTGCTGCTGGCCAGAGTGGCTAGGAAGGAGAACGCTGGCTCCAGACCTTCACCTGGGAACAGAAAGAGATGCATAAAATAAACATGCTTTGGCAAGTAATATAATACCAGTTTTTAAAATTGGAGAGCTTGCGACACCCTGCCTGCGAAAGGGACATCCAGCATTGTCCACAGTTGAAACCCAGCTTTTTCGCTGTCAATGCCAACACGCTACCCTGTCACATGCCTCACCTCGTTCCCTCTCATCTTTGCGCTCCTGATTACTGTCTGAATCTGGTTCGGGTTCTGGTACCACCAGTGCTTTTCGTTCAGACAGAAGGTCTCCAAGACCTTGGTCCAGATCGAAGCGTTTAAGGATGATGCGAATATTTTCGTCAAACTGAAAGATGGGACAAGCAAAAAAAGGATAACAGATAGACATGAACTAACAGAATGCAGGTGAATATAAGAGGAGACAAGGGCAAACAGCATATTAAAGTATGTTACTAACCTGGTTCCAGTAACGATTGATAACCGGAAGAGAGGCATCATCAGGGGCCTGCCGCCGCTCTAGCTTCTCAATGTGTTCCCGTAGCTCATCTTCAATTGCTTGCCGCTGGTCCAGCATCTCTGCTAGTTTCCGGTTCTTGGTCTGTAGGGTACGGATGTCCAACTCCTCCTGTGCAGAAGCACAAGTCAGACCAATGCATCTGGCACAGCACTGGCATGCTCCACAACCAAGGTCACCGGGCTCAGAAAGAAGGAAGAAAGATAGTTCTGTTTCCAGATAAGCAAGCGAGAGCTTGAGTGCAGGTGTGCAAGGAAGACGTACCGTTGAGGAAACGCCGCCTAGCTTAATGGTCTCCACTGTCGTCCCTGAATCTTCAACTCCTGCCTTCTTCTCTGGGGGTGCAGAAGGGCCAGGCTCTGCAGCCGCCCGTTTGTTGCCAACTCCAGACATGGCGGCTGATTTGTAGACGACTGTCCCTTCTCTAAGTTCTGCGTTAACAGTAAAGAACACAATTTAAAAAAAAAAAAACAGTAAACGCAAGTTTGCCCCCCCCCCCCCCCCGAGTCAATTCCATTTAGGGTTTTTAATGCACCAATTCATCACAGTAAGATGCCCAACACAGTACAGAAAAATCTAACTCAGAAAGTTTTGGAAAACATTGTTCAAAAGTGAGCAGCCCCAGCAGGGCTAGCATGGTGAGTAGCAAAAGGATGAAAGAAATAACATAGCATTAGAGCCACTGCTCTGCAACGTTCAGAAACAGTCACTGTGCCTTGTCATGCGCCTTGGAAAAAAATTTCATGCAGGTTTAGCCTGTGGCTTTTCTATCTCTGTGTTTTAACAAAAATGATTTGTCTTTTACAAGGAACTATCTATAACCCAAAGACTTCCTGAGTTTGCATACACTTTGTACCAGCCGGATTCTTATGATAACAACATGCACAGTCAAATAAAGCTGAAGGCATCAGCACCTCAAAGATAAGCCGTATAAGAGTTCACATAAAGACCTTAGAAACACTAGTAAAATGAAAGGCAGTTCCAAGGAGAGGTTGGTAAAGACTCCTCTGGTAAGTTTGCTATGTGTGTTTCAAAAGAGATATAAACATTCTGGAAGCGTTATTTGGGACCAAATTAATGCAATCTGAAAAAACTTTAGACTACTAGTTCTATATGATTTTTTTTAATTAAGGAACAAATATTTCTTCAAAAGGTTTGCAAAACAAATACAGCTGCAAGTGCTGGGCAAGGAAACAAATTAGATCTTCACTTGATGAAAGTAGCATTCTTCTCCCATATTCACAATGGCCATGCAATCTACAGGTCTCTTTCTACTTCCCAACTAACTAAAACATAAAAGTAAACAAAATGCATAGCATACAAATAAGATTTGTATTTTTCCATTTTAGTCTAAAATGGCACTTTCAGTGCAACTACAGGTTATAAATGAACCTGGCAGTACTTATGTACTTGCTTTATTTGAGCAGTTCTATTGAAAGTAATGAGGCTATTGTATTTTGAAGATTAAGCTGGCACACTGGTGGCTTTGCCAAACCTTCTTTAAGCAGCATTTTACTCTGACAACGGCTTTCACCATATATAGAACGGTAGCAAGGCTATTTCAAAATGAGTTACTGAAATACCACACATCTCTCCCCGTGCTCTTATAACCTGTCTTGAAATAAAAAACATTAAATACATCTCTAATTTCAAAAACGTTTCAAAGGCAGCTTCCATTTAACTATTTTTCTCCTTTCAGCAATGTAATGCAGTGGGCAATGACTTTAGCTACAAGGACTAGACAATTAGGAGAAGAAAAGAAAAGAGAGAGGAGAAGAGAGACAGACAGACAGAGAGAGAACACCTTTTGCTAAGCTATATTTGCTATGCTTCAGGACAAGGAGTTATTAATGACTACCACCTTTCAACCTTTTTGTCCCTGGACAAAACATTTACTGTACTGCCTCCTGGCACCATCTCTCATATACTCACTTTCTCACGTACCCTGTGCCAGAACTCAGCCCCTAAGGCTTCAGGACCACAGCCCCTGGCTTTCCCTGAGGAACTGAATCCCAAGCTCAGCCGCAGTCCTTTCACACTCAACCTCCACAGCAGACCACGCTCGCCAAAGACTGGTGCTCTCCCTTACCAGGCACTCAGCCTGTCATACCTCCTGCCTCTCTCTTACCTTCAAACCTCTCTTACTAAGAGGCACCAAAACACACTCCCACCTGGCATCGCCCCCACCTACCACCAGCCAAGAGTCAACCCCCCTCAATCATTTGCAGACAGCAACCTTCCCCAGACGTAATATTTCGCCACTTATACACAGCCCCTTACCTTCTAACTGGGTTTGAGCTTTTAAACTCAATACTAACCAGACAACCCCCGACACAGCTGCCCGTTCCTGCCACACACTGAGAGGAGCCTCGAAGTGTGTGACAACCCCCGCCAC